GTATTGCGCTAGGTCCCGCTTGGCATTCACGTTCCCTCACAAAACAATGAGCGGCTGTCAGTACGTGCTGCCGGCTGATAAGTACACCTGTACATTGGCTTTCTCCTGAAAATAGTCTTATAGAGACTCTGAATTGCTGATTGAGCGTTCTAGTTCGCTTAGGATTCGAACCTAAGCGTCTTGCTTACCCGGCAGTATTTTATCCGCTGCACTACAGGAGCGCGGAAGCGTTCAGACTTTGCGAACACGCGCGCCAAGTCTTAACGCCGTCTTACAGCTAATCAAAGTGATATTTTAAGCGGGAGTTGGTATGACTTGGGAGAGCTTACTAAAGTGCAACTTAATATTTCAATGGTCCCAGACCTCTAGCCTCACTCGGACCATTGCATGGTCACCAGGCCTCTCTGGTGCTAGTCACCAGCAGAGTAGGGGGGGGTCAGGCATATGGCTGGCTCAGGTGGGAACCGGTCTAGGATTTGGGGCCCGACAGCAGGTGCATGAGATGAGCAGTTTCCCACTACTCTTGGCCACTGAAAAGTTTCATTACAGAGGACTTTGTAGATCCACAAAGAACCCAAGAGTTTCTGCAAAATCACTTGTTCCTTCGAATATTTCAGCGTCTAGCACCTTCGTCAGGCTGCGTTCATACTTTGCGGCAGCGTCATCCAGCGGTCAATAGCGTCCACCAGCGTCTCGTGCGCTAAAGAAGTATAGGTATCGCTCTAGCATCTGCCAGCGTCTGTCAGCGTGCCCCAGCGTCTACCAGAGTCTAGAAAAGGAGAATATGGCGTGAAAGGAGGGCAGCAGACAGCTGGTACCCTCCTATCAGCCATACTCTCTACCAGTAGTCTGCCACGCTCGTATCTCCCCATACTCCACTAGCGATAGGAGAGTACCAGCTGTCTGCTACCATCCTATCGCGCCATACTCTTTCCTCCAGACGTTGGTAAGCACTGGAGGACGCTGACAGACGCTTGCAGACGTTTGATCGATATCTATACTTTCGTAGTTGCTGACGCTGCCGGACGCTTGGAAGCTGGTGGACGCTGCCACAAAATATGAACCCTGCCTCAGCGATCTGTACCCTGCCTCCGCTGTTATGGAGTAGGCACCGTCGCGGGAGCATTGCCTCGAAGTGTTGACTTGCGATTTTGACCCACCATCATTACATTAATGTATTTT